TTGTTGTTCGGTCACACTTTACATTAGGGCTTCATTAGTTGACATTAGTTAATTCATTAGTTAACAAACTGCCTGTGAAAAATTCTTCTGAACATTCATTAATCTTAGGTATTCCAATATTTAATCACACGTTGTTAAAATCTAAAGTTGCAACAGTGTTATTTAATGAGCTAACATGAACTAAGACTTGTATTTTTTAACAAAGATGAATAACTTCTGTAACAAATGTAGCTATTGCTGATTGTGAATGTTAATGCGTTAACTAAGCTTAACTAATGAGGTCTTATTGTAAAGTGATAGCAATTGGTCTTTATAGTTCTTTTGCACTTTAATCTGTGTAAAACTTTTAACTTTATACATTTTTTCTGTGTTGCTTTATTGCATTTAAATGTTAAGTTATTTTTGTTATAAGAAAAAAGTTATTAAACCTGATATACTGTATTATGACAGCACTTTTTTTAAACTAAATTTCAATACCGTGATAATACCGTATACCATAATAAAGGCATTAGCAATTAATCGCAACATGAAAATTTGATACCGGCATATCCCTAAGCTAGCGTCATATCATATACACACAGAAATGTAAAGGTATTCACGGCGGCAACCCGTCAAAATAAAAGTTTGTTTTAACTTGAAGACTTTGTGCCAGAAATACATTACTATTGTTCAGTAGAATGTATGTAATAGTACTACTACTACTACTACTACTACACTAAAATTATTACAACTTTATTTTTTAAGGAATAATTACACAATATTTCTTTCATGTTTTAATTTTAATAGTAAATCATAATAAATGAATAGATAAATTAATGTAGTATGCCTTCATTTGAATGAACACAATTTCTAAAGAAAAAAATCATAAGGCTATTATTAATAATAAATAAAAGTTGTTTTATGCATTCAAACAATTAGACATGCTAAAACCCAGAATTTGGTAACAATAAAACATAAGGTGAGAAAAAAATTGAATATTTCATAGGGCCCTAAACATGTAATTTGTGTTAAACTTTTGAATAAATTAATGTCGAATTGTACAAGTTTCATGATTTTAATTCATTAGACATGCTTTTGATTAATAAAATTTAATGTAACCATTAAAAAAGTTCAGAAAACTTAAAACGGGAAAAAAATGGAATCCAGAAAAATTTAAATGGAAAAAAATGAATTTGGAAAAAAAATAAAACAGATTTCCTAGGGCCCTAAATAATCTGTCCCTCACAAACCTTTTTTTTTTCCTCTCTACGACTAACCAACTGATAAAACAAATACAATTACTAATGTTTATTAGGGGGCAGTCTTAATTGCAACATTCATAATCATTTTAATTTAATTGCGCAAGGGCATTTTTCGCCCCTTGAGTTTGTAACTTGAATTTGCGGGGCATTTTGTTAACTTTGGTGGCATTTTTGCTCCAAGCACCCATTCATTTGTGCCCCTGCCTATGAGGCTGACTAATAACTCCAGCAACTGTCTGTGTAGGCAGCAGAAGTGCTTGTACTGAGCTACAGACGAGTACATCTTTTTTTAATCAGCTCTAAACACACAACATGAGCTGAAAGACAGGGCGAGCGGCCCATACTAATTACTCAAGATGTGCAAAAGCACCCTTTTGCATCATGAACACACATACAAACAAAAACAGCATGCTCCATACGCTTTTACACCGCGCTTCACACAGCGAGCAGCCAACAGCCCATGTGCAACACATTTTCCCCCAATTAGGAGCAGACACCGTTCCTGCCCGCACCTCAGCCCTCACAGACTGTCTCGCTCTCTCCGTCGCTCTGTTCTCTGCGTTTATGGCTCTTTAATGTGTGCTGGGAGGGCCCATTAACATCACCGCAAAATATTCACTGTGAGGAGAATAAATAAGCACCAACAAGGGAAGATCAAAGCCGGGCGTTATTATGAGCTGTTGGGCTCTGGAATCAAGAAAATAAGCCCAAGCCAAACTCACCACAACAACAATAACAAGGCCGTAACGTATCATCTTACTGGGTGTCTCCTGCATCTGCTGTGTCACTTGACAGTGTTGCATCACTGCAGAAATGAATCGTATTCCTGCTGGTTTTGGGTGTCTTTTCATAAACAATATAACAGAGGGTGGAGCGGCTCGCATGAACTCACTGGTGAAATATAACTTCACTCCTAAGCTCAAGTTGAACATGATCACAGCACAGCAGAGAACCACACGTCACTTCAGCCATGGAAACTGGGAGATTTTCACCATATTTTTTATCTCAGTTAATGTTCCAATATTAAAGGGGAAACAAAATGAAAAATCACACTGCAAACCCATATATGCTGTTGTTTTTCACAAAAAAAGGAATGTGAGGGATCTCCATGCAGCTCTTTTCCATGTGACGAGAGTTCATAG